CAGTGAAATATATTTATGTTTGTGGTTGTAATGTGACAAAATATGGAAAAGTTCAAGGGGTATGAATACTTTTGCAAACCACTGTAAATACAGGGCCAGTATCGCCGATATCGATATCGATACCGATACTTTAAAAGCTTCATAATTTGAAAAGATCCAAAAGATCTAGGATAGAATTTCACCAAACATTGTACGTGACAACAAAACACTTTATTATAACAATCAACATTTTTGCTTGCCAACAATAAAGCAGTAACAAACCAGTCTCCTTTAACATTAGGAACATAAATCTTTTAAACAAAAATAAAATAAAAATGCTTCCCTCACCACTAGACATCTTTCCTAGTTATTTCTTTGTTTCTTTTATTAAATAAAAATGTTCTTCGGAAAAACAAAAATTAAGGATTTTTCTTCCTTTCAATATAATTCTGTTTTATGTAAATAAACAGACTAAAAAATATCACTCAAAACAACTTAAAACAAAATCTCCTGAGGTAGAGGGCTCGGTGAGAACGCTGAGTGGGTGGGCCAGCCGACCTGCTTAGTTAGCTGAGCCACGTGACGGTGCAACAACAAAAGGGGGGCGGGGCTGCTCCGTGCTGTGTGTGACACAGTGCAGCACTACACACAGAGAGTAGTGAGGTGTAATAACCACGTCTTCTGGTTCAAGTGGAACTGCTGCTGATCAATGAAGAGAGAAACTCTGAAACAGGCTGGTTGAACAGCAAGAATCTTTATTTTGCAGTCCAGGAGATTACAGCCAAAAACCAAATTATGGCCTTCATTGCCAAATGATTCACCAAGTAAGAAAGATGGACAACGAAGGCCAAGGGTGGGGGCGTACAAGGCTCTTTATAGGCTTCACACATGCACCATAAATTTTGTCACSGTATACCTTCTTCCTAAWATGGTAATATGTGCCGAGCTCTGAAGCTGGAAACTAAGAGACATCACATCTGTGTATTCCTGAGAAGAGCCCCCACTCTTGGACACTACAGTATCTACGTGTGCAGCAGTGTGTGTGTGCAGGAAAGAACAAACCTTGAGTATCRATCTTTTTWCACGAGTATTGTTCAATATCAATACCAGCGCTGGTATCGATATTATTGATATTTAGTATCGATCCGCCCACCTCTAATCATTACTCATCATTTCTCCTCAGTCTGTTTCCTGCTGTTTACCTGATATTTCCTCCGTTCCCATTAACCTGTCAGAAGTTTTAATCAGTTCTCCTCAGCTGTTGTCCATCTTCTCTCTTCCTCTGGTTGTAGAAATACTCTGCTCATGTCTCCATCCACCGCTGGTTCATTGTTGGGTTTAGTCCGTTTTGGCTCCTTGTTTTCTCCTGGTTGTTTTATTTTCTTTCTTTTTTTTTTTTTTGAGTTTTGCTGCCACGTCTGTTTTATTTTAACAAATGTTTTTTAGCTCCTCGAGTCTGCCTGCTTCTGGGTTCATTTCAYCCCCTGGACCCTGACAATCAATTCATCTGTTCCTACACAAATCTTCCCAAACCGACACTCCTGTGTACGTATAAAAATACAAAACGTCCATCATTAATCATCAATGTCTACAGTTTGTGTTTTTCTGTGAATAAATAGCTTATTTTAAAAATAGAGAAGTGAAATCCAGAAATGTTTGTTAATGTGTTTTTATTATAGAAAATATGTAAT